GGGCAGCATGTGCCTCTTCATCGCCGGTGAGTGGGGGGGCTGGGGGGGGGTGAGGGGGCCACCCTGTCGCCACCGGGTTCCTGTGGCTCCCAGTGAGGCCAGGCCTACCCACCCTCACCTCTGCGTCTGCAGCTCTGACCGTGTGCCAGGCACCAAGCTGAGCCCGTTTCTGCTCCTCTCACACGACTGCCATGACAGCCCTCCAAGCAGGCCCTTCCTTGTCCCATTCCGTAGCAAAGGCCTGATGCATAAGAAGTGAGGACAGTGGCCTAAGACTCCAGGCTGGGATCCAGGCCCCCTCAGGCCACAGCTGGGCAGCCCCGCAAGGCTTCAGCCCAGGTGGTCTGCGGCGAGCCGAGGGTCCAGCCCCGTGGGCCCTGATGCCTATCTTGCTCCCGCAGGCTTTGCTATGGGCTGGGGACCCATCCCCTGGCTCCTCATGTCTGAGATCTTCCCTCTTCACGTCAAGGGCGTGGCCACAGGCGTCTGTGTCCTCACCAACTGGTTCATGGCGTTTCTCGTGACAAAAGAGTTCAGCAGCCTCATGGTGAGTGCGGGCCCCGATGGCCTCCCCCTCACGCAGTAGTCGGCAGAGAAGCGCTTTTCAGAATTGCTCTTGTTGCGAGAGACTTGGGGTCCGTGGCACTGCGTGCAGGCTGAGGCCCCAGCATCTTGCGACACCATCTTGGTCAGGGGTGAGGGGGAGCAGATGGGCCGGGCTGGCGAGAAACCCAGGCTGTGGCCACTCAGGAACCTCCAGGCTGTCCAGGTGGAAGGACAGCAGAGCTGACCTCGTCCTCCACTGGACTCTGGGGACACAGGCTGGGAAGCAGGGCTGTGAGAGAAACTCCGACTTTGGCTCAGAGCCTGTGCTGCCCTGTGCTCCGGCTTTGTGCTGAGCCTGGGTGGGGTGGGCCCCGACTGGGGCCTTGGCTTCTCGGCTGGGGCATGAGGGCTCCTGACCTGCCGCGTCCATGCATGGCCTCTCCACTCTCTTTGCAGGAGGTGCTCAGGCCCTGCGGTGCCTTCTGGCTGGCCGCTGTCTTCTGCATCTTCAGTGTCCTTTTCACTCTGGCCTGTGTCCCTGAAACCAAAGGAAAGACTTTGGAGCAAATCACAGCCCATTTTGAGGGGCGGTGACAGCCCCTTCCCGTGAGTGGCTGCCCCTCCTAGCTGGACCGGCTTTGGGCCTTGGAGGGGATGGTGCCTGCTTGTAACTCCAAACTGAGCCTCAGCTGGAGCCTGGACGCCCGCCTGCCCCCAGGGAGTCAGGAGCCAGGACTGTAGCCCCTTGGACCTTTGTCCTCTGGGGCCCCTCCTTCCTGCCCAGCTCTCTACAGCCCAGTGAAGCACGGGGACAAGGTTTCCAGCCCCTGGGTCCAGTTTCCACTGCTGCCCTGTGACTCGTGCGGAGGGAACATCTCGGAGATGCTTTGTTGTGCTGTGGTCAGTCCTCCACGTGCCATCTCCATCACGACACAAAAGTGACAGCGGAGAAGGGGGACTCTTGGTTCCTCGTTTTCTGGAGAAGATGCTTTTGGAGGCTGGGTGATGGCCATGGTTACTCCTCTCACATGGCTGCATTATCAGGAAGGAACTTTGCCAAATATTTGACTCAGAAAATCAGGTCATGACCTCTTTGTGTGGACTGCAGTCCAGAAGGGCATTTTCCTGTCCCTTCCATAAAACTAGGCCTCCCACAAACTGAGTCTTGCCAAGAACATCTATGGATCTGCTTTCTCATGGTCAGCTAGGCTTGCCTTTGGCACTTGGAGGTCATTTCTGACTCATTCCTTGGGTTCAGTCCCCTGAATCATTAGTCATCAAATCTTGAGTTCCTCCTGCAAAAAAGAAGCCTCTCCGTAATTAACTTTAATGGAGCCAGAAGTCTTTTACAAATTACTTTTATTGTCTACTGTATAAGTAATACGTGTTTATTGCAGGAAAACTGAAAAACACAGATTTATGTAATATAATTATTTTTTATGGCAGTTAACCATCTGCTAGGCACTATCCTAAGTACTTTACAAATATTAACTCCTTTATTTAGATAAATAATAAAATATTCACACCTGCACCTTACCAGAGAATTTCGTTCTGTCTTAAAAGATCTCTCCCCCAACATACATGCTTCCCAGCATCACTACACAGAAGTGGGACGCCCTACTTCCCATTCCGTAACCTGTTTTTATTCACTTCTCAGGCTGTGCAGCCCAGTATATGCCCACCTTGACATCTTGTATTAAGCTTTGTAATGAGACCGAATGAGACCGGAGACAAGGGGAATGGAAGTGTGGAGTGGTCCAGGGCAGAGCGGTGGGGGAGAGCAGGACAAGTCGCTTAACTTCCCTAAGCCTCAGTTCATTCATCTGTTAAATGGGCATAATGATGTTATCTCCCTTGTGGGGTTGTTATGAGGATGAAAGGAGATGATCATGTAAAGCACTTAGCTCTGAGGATGGCACTGAATAAGTGCTCAATCAGTTTAGCTGCTGGTGGTGGTGAGGGTGGCAGGCTGTGGTGGAGATGGGGAGCTGCATGCAAGGCTGGTTGTGAGGCTGCATATGAGGCTCTAGGGGTGCTTCATAAGGGGATATTTGAAATCCTTACAAGTGTTTCTCTTTATACTCTATTTCCTACCCTACTGCCTCAGCAACCTGTGATTGCTACCAGCACCTACTTATAGGTACCAAGGATGGTGGACACACACACTTTTCAGAGGTCCCCGTACACTCCTTTAAGGCCTTCCCATCAGAGCACAAGGTGCTTCAGGGACTAAGAGCCAGCCCCAGCTGACACCCCTGTATCTACCCCAGGAGCCCAGTCCAGCACCATCAGGCACAGGTCCATGAAGAAGTGGGGCAGGATGAAACATCCCCAGAAGACAGGTGCAGCAGAAGCTGCGCTTTACCCAGCCTAGGATAGAAATGTGCGTTGCCAGCCGACATCCACTCCATTTCCCACTCCCACCCCCAGAACAACTTCCAGGAGAATCCTGGCTTCTGAGAACGAGGCAAGAAATTCCCTACCACCACCCAGTGGACACGGGCGGAATCAACTGCGGCGTGAACCACTCTGCTACCCCCCAGTGGCCATAGGTGGGTTCGCAAGACTAAGGCAAGAAAACCCTTGCTACCTCCAAGTGGCTATTATGGGTTTAGCACCTGCTGGGCCTGTGGCACAGGCAGAACACACCAGCTGGAAGAGCCCACTAGCCAAGGAATGCAGGCAGCCTCTGGAAGCTAGAGAAAGCAAGGAAAGAGATTCTCCCCCTAGAGCCTCCAGAAGGAAAGTAGCCCTGAAGACACCTTGACCTTAGCCCAGTGAGGTCCACTTCAGACTTCTAACCTCCAAAGTTATAAGCCTAAAACTTACACAAGCCCAAGGTAGAGAAGAGCTTATCTCAAAGAGATCTGTGGGTGTTACTTGCTTAATGGAGTAAATCCCAATGAGATTCATATTAGAAGACCCACAAATGTAGAATCATATTGGGAAAAACACTACCAGCTATGATTGAAAGGGAGAGAGACTGTACAAAATGAAAAGAGGCTTAGGACCCCCAAACTCATTTCCGCTTCCCAGGTACCACATTCTCATTTCCTTAACGTCAAAATGCCTCTGAAACTAAATTGCTCATCAGAAAATTGCTTGATTAGTGAAGATCAACAGGCTTGTAGGGAAATTTCATCAAAGCTCTGAGGAAGCCCACT